AATCAATCACCATATAGGTGGTTGATCGTGGGCTCAAAAAAGTCATATCAAGGTTCGGCTGAGTCGCACGGGAAATTAAATGGATAAATGTGTTGGGGACAGCAAGAAGGGCTAGATTCTCCCTTGGGTGCAAGACCTGTTTACTTGATTTATACACTTTCTGGCGATGAAATTTCAGAAAAGTGTAACGGCGAAAATGGAGCCGCATGTGGGATGTCCTGAAGATTCGTTGATGGTTGGTGTCCCATTGGTGTAATACCATAAATCACCTCCCCCCATAAAGACACAAGAAAATGAATTAATTAGTCATTGAGTGTATATAACACCAATGAAGGGCTTGAAATGTCCGGATACATACACATGACATTGCATGTTTTATGGGAGCTCAGGATGGGGCTCGGGGTTGGTATTGCTTGCATGAGTCTCATCTCATGGCATGACATGATTTATGACATTCGATCATAATTGACATATTTGAATGAATGCATCAAATGATTGTTGCATGTGACATTCTATATGCAATTAGGTTGAGAGGTATTCTCTATAGGAGTTACCCTATTGAGCGTTGACTCACCCTTTATGGGAACATTTTTCAGGTATCGCACAGGCGTCCACCGAAGGCGAGGCCATAAGCCCGCTTTGATGACAGAGCCGGTCTGTGGCTCTTGTTTTGACATTGCAGTCCATTGTTTATTTTTACTTTTGGCTTTGTATAACTTTTGTAACAAAAACTTATTTATATTTACAAAGGCATGTATATGGGACTCTTTTGAGACATTTATTCTTTTACGAATAAATGTATGTACTGATGATAATTATGGTAGTATTCGATACTATACAATTGTGAATGGATGGATAGACCCGATGTGGTTAATATTATATAGGTTGCGTTTTGGGTAGAACTCCTCGTACAAAGGAGACTCTGCCCAAATTTTGTTAAGTTATGGATCCCGAGAAATGGGGCATAACGGTGTGATATCGAATTACACGGTATCCACAAGTATTTCGCATTTCGATGGATGATCAATCGGATAATCACAACCACCTGAATTTTGGGGTGTCACAACTGTGACGGCCGAGGAAGATGTCTGAGCGCGATATATTGCGGTATGCATAGTTTGACATAGTTGTATATACTTTTTAGGCTAGTTATTTATTACTAGCCTTAATGATAATTTTTTTTAGGCGAATCTGCAAGTGAAAGCTTTTCGCACGAAAGGGTGTGAGCACTTCAACTTTTTGGGACTTATCTTTGGAAAATCAACAACCACATGCCGTTTAGTCGATGCTTCGACCCAAGTCTCACCAAATTCAAATGAGGAGAGAGAGTTGGATGAGGAGTTCATCACTTGTCAAAAAAGATCATCTGCTAGTCTTGACGGTGATCTTGAAGGTCCATTTCCCTTTCCACGTAAAAAAATTGGAAGTAGTTCAAGAGATAAGAAGGAGAGTAAGAGTTCAAAGATGAACAATACTATGGATGCATGGGCTGCATTCTCACTTGCTAGGATGGAGAAATACAAGCATACTTGTCCAGTGAACATTGTGAATGATGCTTACAAAATTAACACTTGCATGGATGTGTTAGAGGGTATGGAGGGTGTTGGATCCCAATAATATTTTCGTGCTTGTGCAAAGTTCAAGGACCCTGAGTGGCATTAAATGTTTATTAAGATGTTTGCACAACGTAAGAAGGAGTGGCTTGACACACTAGATTAAGTTTAATGATGTTTGGTTAGTTATGTATGAAATTATTTGGGCATGAATGTCCAAAGTTGACTTAACTTTTTGTGTGTTTCTACCGAGACAATTTGGGCATGTAACTGTTGGACAATTATTATGGAACAATATTAGTAATATTGGCGTATGATGTGGTGCATGGGCTACATGTTTTATTTTGTATGTTTTGAATATGTAACGTTGGGAAATGTCTATTATTCAAGTGGTATGGTGTTGAAAATGTTTAGTGGTATGATGTTGCATGATGATGTGGATCATTATCCTATGACTGTTTTCGTATTTATGCACTGTAATCATGAGTTTGTATTATGTTTGTAGTTACAATGGAAAATACAACTGCCCAATCAAGTGATGACTCACTAAGCTCATCAAGCAGTGTAGATGACGAATTGGATGATATGTTTTTTGTCAATATAATGTGCCCATATGCTAACAACTATTTGTTCAAAACACCATGCATGACATCTAAATTAACTGGCCATGAATGGGTTATGGAATTGTTGAATAGAAATCTGTCACACATATATAATTGTCTATGGATGGATGCTGATACGTTCCTTGTATTGTGTAAAACACTGCGCGATGGCAGTCACATACAAGAGGACTACCACAATCATTTGACAACTGAGGAGTCCGTGACTATTTTCTTACTCACAGTTTCACATAGAGTTAGGCAAAGACTTGTTGCTGAGATGTTTTAACACTCAACTAAAACTATCAATCGCCAATTCAAGAAGGTTATGTGTGCATTAGCTAGTCTAGGGGTGTCAATAATTCGGCCACAACTTCCATGCGAAACTCCACCTAAGATATTATATGATGAACGATACTATCCATGGTTTAAGGTAACATCTACTAAACATGTTACATATATTTTATTGTACTACTAAAAACACATTTTATAAATGTAGGATTGTATTGATGCAATTGATTGTATTCATGTAGCTGCATGGACCCCTGCTTCTAAGCATGAGACATACCATGGTTGAAAAACAACAATTACCCAAATGTGATAACAACTTGTTCTTTTGACATGAGATTTGTATTTTTCATGCCTGTTTGGGAAGGTAGTGCACATGATTCACGTGTTTTTATGGATGCTATAACAAAGGGTGAAATCAACTTTCCTATGCCGCCAGAAGGTTGGTGTATAGAATGATTTAATTCCTATAATCAAAACTATGACGTTAAGTATCTAATGTTGACAATGTGTTTTTGGATTAGGGATGTACTACGTTGCAGATGCCAGTTACACAAACATGCCTGGATATCTCTCGCCATATCGTGGCAAGAGATATCACATTCCTGATTGTAGTGGTAACAGACATGCACCACGTGGACCAAGAAAGCTATTTAACTATCGACATTCTTTCTTGAGAAATATTATTGAGAGATGTTTTGGCGAGTTGAAAACAATATTTCCTATTTTAAATATAATGCCAAAATACAAACCTGCACGCCAACCAACCATTGTAATAGCATGTTGTGCAGTTCATAGTTTTGTTCATATGTATTCAGCTTGTGACATTTACTTTCAACGATTTCTAAATGAAGACGTCCCTTTAGATAATGAAACAGAGTTCTAACCATCATTGATTAACTGAATTGGACATTTCATCATCACAACTCAATGCTATGTCGCACTTGAGGGATACAATGGTTGCGAGTATGTGAGCTGCTGTTTCTCATGGTGGTTGAACTTTTATGTTGTTTAAGATTTATTACTAGTACACTGTCATTATGTAATATTAAAAATATTAAAGTGTTATTACTAGTACATGGATGCTATAAAATATTTTTTGTATTATGTTGGATATCATATGTATGTGTGATGACATAAATTATATGAGTTGCGTTTCATTTATGCACACAGGTCCTTTATGCATATGTGGTGCTGGCCACATAAGGGTTTTCAGAGTTCGTACAATGAAAAATGATGGTCGTTAATTTTATAGGTGTTAATTTGGTAGAGACTAGAGTGATTAGCTCTGTCATTGTAATATAAGGTGGAGCTTGTATGTACAAACAATGGTCTGTGTTATATTATAATTTGTAATATAATGTTATGTCAGTAAAACATTCAATCCAAACATCATCTCTATTTTTATTATTTTTTGCCCTACTGCCCAGACATGTTTTTTGTCTATTGTTCTCCAAAACAGTTTTTAGAATTATATAACCAAACAAATTCTGCAATATGAAAAACACTAAAAACAATTTTCAAAAATTTGACTTCGAAAACTGTTTTTAGATATTATTTTTTGAGATGAAAACCAAACATTATTTTCTATAACCTTTCTTCCACTCTCTTTTCAATCATTTTGAAAGCATCCGCCAACTACTCAATCAATTCAAGGGATAAAAGAATTGAAAAGAAATGCCACGAATTAATTATTAAACAGAAAATAAAAGAGGTTTATATTGGTACCAAAAAAAATAATAATAATAATTTAAATGCTTGGAAGGAAAAAATTGAAAGAACAATCGATTGTGAAATAAGGCTAAGATTTGGCCAAATTCTCTTTCTTCTGAATTCCAATTACATTTTCCACAGGATTACCATTTCCCTCAATGTATATGGTGGACACGGCAATGACATGAAACCAAAAGGACCTATAGATTTAGAAGTATGCATGTGTTGGAACATCCAGAAGTCAAGGGATCTCAATTTCTATCTACTTGAACATTGCTCCACTTTCAATTCAAAGGTAAAATAATCTCATGCAATCTGTCCGATCCCTCTCTCTCTCTCTCTCTCTCTCCATGTAACAGCCACCCCGGGGGAAAGGGGGGGATGGGATGGTATCTATCAGTATTACAGGTGAGGCTGATTTTGTTCTGTCATCTTTTGTTCCAGAAAGCTGCAGGTGAAGATACTCCACTACCACATAGAACCAAAAGCTGGTTCATTCGTTCTTGACAGCAAAATAAATGTGGTGAACAAAGACCAAGGAAGCACGAAAACTGATTGTACCGAGCATCAGGAAGACTGCATAGCACAAGCAAGCATTGTAACCAAAAAAGAAGGATAGCTGCATGAAACCACTCATATTTGATTTGGCATAGAAGTAGATGCAATGCACAAACATAAAAATTGCTGTCGAGCCACCACGTAAAACGGATCTGCGTCAAACAGATAAGTAATCCATAAGGTAGAGCAACCATGCAAAAGACTTATCAAATAATAATAGTACTAATAAACAAAACAAAAATAATAGAGTGACAATGAGATAATGCAAGGCACAATCCAAAGTAAGTAATCACCTATTGAAGTCATTAATTTTGAACAGAAGTGCAGTTTTTTTCCTTTTTTGGATCAGAGATATTACCGCATTGGAAAATAAAAATAGATGCCTAATTTTTCCATTGTTTGTGTGCATGCTCAAGCACATAGAAACCAGTGAAATTTCTAAATTATCAAAAAACCAGCAAGGCAACACCCTTACCGGGCTCAAGACCTGGGTTTGAAACTCATCCTCCTCCTCCAATACAAAAACTGTAGTATTTGCCTTTATATGGAAAAAAAGGGACAAATACTTGGATACAGCTCCAAATAAAAAGGCTAAAGTCTTCAGTAATCTAAGGGTGATACCACTAGTGTGAACATGCATTTGCCTAGAATAAAGCATTAATCTTGATCCCATCTGGTCTAAAGACGATCAATACTAGGAGATAAATCTGGTAAACTCGAACTATTGATTGTTCATAGCACCGTCTGCAAAGTTGTCAACCATTTGTTTTCGATGTTTGAGAGCCAACTAGAACCTGGGTCTAAAGTATGACCTGGTGAGAAAGATGCAGTGCCATAGTTATTTCAAAGTACATCCATTTTTGATTTGATTTGTACACAAGACTGACACCCTGAAGTAGTACTCAAATCATGTGGCTGTGCGACGCATGGGATTCGCAACCAACATCTTTGATCATGTGCCCCCCCTCCCAGTCCCTCATCTTCCATGCCAACCCATTTAATCGGTCTGTTAGTGATAGAGGAAGAAGAGCATATGAAGATGGGAGTTCAAAATTGCAAATTTGCAATGGGCATCATCAACAGGATCACATAAAAACAGTGTAAAGTTTACTGAATCAATTAAGAAAATTGACAATTAGGGACCAAATTGACAATATCCATTAACCTTGCAGGCTAATGGTGTAATTTGCCTTAAATAATATTATAATATATGCAGAACGTTTACCGGTAGTCCAGTAGACACATGCATATCTATTATATTTGCAATAACTCTTCAGGGGGACATACCTCCACCACCATTCATGGTCTTCCACGGTTAGCTGAAAGTATGTCAAACCAACACTCAAGAGTGCAGTGAGTATGATAAGGATGATGAAATTGATAAGCAAAATGCTAGGAAGAATATAGATTTTATAGCCCCACATGCTTGCATACAAGTGATGTAGCTCAAGGATTATTGCACTGAAAGGTAAGAGGCCCCCAAGAAACATTTGAGCAGGCGTTTTCCAGTACCAAGCCAATGATGGAATCTCTCTTGGGCATCTCTTTGTAGCAGAAGGTGCACGAAATCTGGCCCTAATACGGTATCCAAATACCCGCCAAAGGCAAGCAATGGACTGGTAAGAAATGCATATATAAGACAAACCACTACCATCGTGCCAAATGGAATTGCTGCTGTTGCCCCAAAACCAATGGCGACTGTATTAAGGATAAATATAATGGAAAACACAGGACCAAGGTAGAGAATTCCAGTCAGAAGAACACATTTTTCCTGTAAAATGTAAACATATTTTCCATCACATAAAGAAGTAAGAAGAGTAAAAGCAATCCAATGTGTATAGAGTAATAGAAAGGCAAACCAAATTACCCATCCTATTTCAGCAAACTGACAGTAGGAAGAAGAAGCACTGTACCCAGCAACTGCAGATGTAAGAGTATAAATCACAACAAGAGCGGTAGTAAGAGCTCCACGATTGTAGGGATACAGGACACCAACAAATACCAAAACAAATAATAAGCAAACCCTGTAGGAAAAAGGGAATATACTTCAATTGGAGTAAATAAAAAACTCAATGATTGATAAATTGGCAGCAAACCAGCAAAATTAAAAGTTTCCTTCCAGCCACAACAAATTGCTGGCAAATTGTCTCACACCAACTTAGACCCAGTCACCCAAACATCAAAGTTTTCAATTACTTTTGATTTTTAATACTGTCCCATAGGATAGCAAAATTGAAATATAAGCACTTTCCCATTTGTCTATAAGATCTATAGCGCACATAATCTCTATATCATTCAATTATAAATATCGAGGAAATGTCTAAAGCGCTCTCCTATGGGTGTTATAATCCAAATAATCTCTGCAGGAGTAAACTAATGTTTTCAATCTATGAGATTACAATCTCCTTCTACCATCTGAACTGTTTTAAACAGGAAAACCTATATCACAGACGAGGCCAAAGATTTTTTCTTGAACAATTAAAAGATCCAAGTATCGAGAGTTTCATCATAAGAGCTCTAAAAAGATCAGATCTACTGCCTGGTAGTAGCCTTATGTTTATTCTTAGACTTTTCACTATTTAGAGTAGTTCCAAAGCATAGTATGTTGGGTGTTTTGCCAGTAGATTGGGGAACAAATCTAACCACCTCCAAGGGGTGGAGAGGTTAGCTTTTCCCTTTATACAACCACAGAAAATACGGCTAGTGGTAACAGTTCTGGAGAAAACTTGAAGGCCATATATTCAACAAGAGAGAGAGAGACCATAAGGGATAACAACCTTCTTATGAATACAAGATGAGTAAAATGAAGGCACTTATATTCTTCCAACAAGGTTTTAGCACCCACAGAAGATTACACAGACTATCGGGCCCCATGACCCATTAAACTCATGATTGAACTATGCAAGTTTTCAACAGATAATAGAAATTTTCAGCCATGGGACGGGTATCATCAAAAGAAAATTATTGAAGTGGTTTACATCATCAACAACTGGGTACCAGAGCCCAGAACAGCACAAAGCAAGGGCATGTGAGAAGGAGAACCAAACACATCGTTTTGAATGTATTTCCAACCAACCTCCATGCCTTCTTCTTCATCGGCAGCATAACACCTACAATACAGAATAAATAACAGGAAGATAAAATAAGAACCTTCTTTCAAGTCAAGTCCAATTAATTCATCATGAGAGTAGTCATGGATGCATGCACGATGAGACTATAACAGCACATTACTTTCTCAAATCAGTTTTCAGATTCCGCATAGAAAACACCATGAACAATCCAATCAGGAGTAAAAGGATGACAGCTGAATTAAATAATGAAAACCAATGAATTTTCTGCTGTATCGGTAGAAAGGAAGCCCTTGAATAACTGTTCATTCTGTTCTCAAACTCAGTGGAGGTTGCATTCCAGAAAACTGAATAAGTGAACTCAACATTGGTTTCCACATCTTCCTTTAATTCCACGACATGATCTGGGTCACTAAAAGCATGTATTTCTATGATGTGGTCATCATTGTAAAGAGCATCAAACCGAACATGGCTGAAAATATAAAATTTAAGACCCTTTTCATCAAGGGTCCAATTTGCCTCTTCAACCTTCCCAATAAATCCCCAAAATGGAAGATCATCATAGTACATTTGGAAGTAAAAATCATTCATAATAGCATTCCTGAACTTTGTGACTTGTTCTCTTTTCAGCTCCTTCTGGCACAGAATATCCCCAATTTTGTCCTCCCGAAATTTCAACTTATATAAAGCATTTGTCAAACGATCACCATTTAAAACTTCCCCCAGGGTTTCCGTCTTTCTAATCACCTGATCTGCATGACAAAAGTGAAATGTCAACACACTCTAATTAGTGTTGTAATCATAACCAAGGGTAATACACCAAAAATCAACAAAACACCATCACTGAGTACCGTGGCCAGTTTCAGACTGTGCAATTGGTTTCTCTAAACTTTTGGATGGTACCGGACCGATTGTATCAAATATTCCAAAAACATCTTTACTACATCGATAACAATCAAGCTTCAATTTGGAACATATTACAGTTGGTCAATTTATTGTTGAAGCTGCATATCAAGAATTCTTCCTCTAAAACAATTCTACTTGCTAGCTAAAATATAACTAGTGTTATTGGATAATAGCATGCTACCCAGTAATCAAGTACTAAATGTTACTATGAGCCAAAAAACAGTAGCCTAATATACAACTATATGCACTAAATGATAAAAGTCCCAATCAGTTCTCTTTCCACTTATAATAGGATAGCCAATTGTTACTGTAAAGCCTAAATGCTAACCTGGATGGCAGAATGGCAAGTGATAGTATTGGTAGGTTTCACTGCACAAGGATAACAATTAAACAACATTAAGATAGTAGAAGTACCAAGATTCCTCAAAAGAATCAAACATTATTCAAGGTGAAACTTTGGATACTGTTATCTTAAAATCCAATCCTAGTTATTACATTTTCAAAAATGTTTAAAGTTTGTCAATGTTAACCTTTTATTTGTCAAAGAAAAAACTGAAAAATGAGGAATATCACATTTATCCTTGAAGTGTATGCATCATTCAACGCCATTTCAGATTTCAGGATCACGATTAGACTGAAGAATGACGCGCATTTTCACTAATGCTATAAAATATATTTTTTTTCTTTTGTAAGACAACAAAACTTGCAAGATTCAACAGCATAGCTTAAATCCAATTCAAGTTGGCAATCCTTGACATCTAACCACTCAAAGCCGGGAACATATACATTTTTCAGATTAAACCATATTGTTTCCTCAACTCCTGGGGATGACCAAATGCTTCCTCTATTCCCACCTCCTCAACCAATATTAAGTTTGGCCCCCTGTTTTGTCTGTAACACCCCACTTGAATCAAATTCTCCTCCTCATTTGATGCATCAAACAAAACCATCTTAAAAACATTTCCCTACTCTTACCTCATATATTGCAACCTCTAGCTCGGTGCAGTACGTCTACACTCCCGTGTCATGATTCACCCATTCCAACAAGTAAAAAAGAAAAAGGATAATTATCCATTGAGGCTACTCTCACGTAGAGTGATGTTACTATTACCAATGGCCTAGATTAGATACATACCAAAACTTGGGCCCGAGTTGACCCTTTTCCAGTTCTACATTCCTCAGATTCGCTCCATTCACACCACCACAAGACTCACAACGAATCTAGGTGGAGCCCATAATAATATTGAAGTGGGTTCCCCACCAATGCCTACGGAGTGCTCGGATCTGAAAGTTTTGGGGGAAATTTATTATTGGAGACGACCTCCGTCCCCTTTGACATATTTGGACACAGGGTCAATACACATTGCAACAGGTACTTCAGCAATACTCATTCTAGGAACATAATTTGGTATTATGCAGCATAAAGCATAACTAGCATTGCACTTAACATTTTAAGTTCAAAGCTACTTTCCAGCTTAATATGCCATCGACAACCATACAAATTCTCATAAGCAATTCTTTCAGGTTTAACAAGTAGTCTGGTAAATAGTTATAAAATTAACCATGCTCACAGTTATTAGGGATGATAAAATCATCCGTTGGTGGATCAGAAGGGAAGTACCTGGGATTGTTTAAGGAGCCCACCTTGTTAACGAATAAGGGAACGTCGTCGCCCACATTGTACCGATGGTCAGACGGTGAAGCACTGACAGAGGGGAGCAAGATGGCCAGATATGTTACAACGAGCAGAAGAAAGTGATTGATTCGAGTCGTTTGATCCATAGGTGCTCGACAGAGAGAGAGAGAGAGAGAGAATTGAAGGTGTTAAACACCCAAGCTTTTAAGCAATTAGACTCTCACCCAATCCGTTTAAATTACTATACCGAGGTCCGAGTACCAAAAGGAATATACTTTAATTTCAAATTGTGCAATTAAAGAAAAATAATGAAAATAAATTATTATTTAAAATATAAAAATTGTATAATTAATGTTTAATTTTTAATATTCAGATACAAGATCATTGTTAGTTCTATAATAAGAATGCCCACTATGGGTTGGACAAAATGTGCTAAGAGAATGGAGAGGAAGTGGATATGTGAGCCCTTAAAAATATGTGTTTGATTGATTAAACTCAAGTTAAAATTGAAATGATCCTTCAACTAGTTCATTGAGCCCTTAAAAATATGTGTTTGATTGATTAAACTCGAGTTAAAATTGAAATGACCCTTCAACTAGTTCATTAATCTAACGGTATAGTATTGATTGAACTTTTGTTGAGTCAAGTTCTAGTACTTAATGTTAATAGTTTGTCGAGTTACTAAGAGCTCGAGGTGTGTTTTAATTGGAGTCATTTGTCATGCAAATAAATCTCAAATAAGTTGTTTTTATTTTTAAGAGGGATTCTAGTACAATACAAATAGTTTTAACTGACCATTCTTAAAGAGGCAGAAGGCAATGTGGGACATGTAGGTTTTACATATAGAAGAGAACTTGACATTCATTGGTGGTACAAAGGTTAGTAGGTACGCACCTACAAAACAGTTTTAAAAGTTTTTTTTTTGGTATTGATTTATCATTGGGTATACTTGAATCTCACATTCGTGTTGTTGATTTGGAATTGGGGTTGTTGATTTGTTTTAGTTTGTCAGGATATTGAGTACAATTCGTTAGTGTTCTATGTTTACCAATACGAAATTGGGGTTTTGGTGGGTTTTATTCAGCAATTCTCCAACTTTTGAATTTCATGCTCGAAACCCAGATATCAATTCTCAAGCTTCCCTTGAAGGTTGTTCATTTGATGGATATCTCTCTGACAGTGGACTACTTGGCTCTTCTTTGTGGTGACTGACTACTTTTTTTGATTATGTTGTTCTAACTTCTGTTGATGCAATGATGCAGGAGCGACTTGTGTATTGGCTTTGATTTTGATACGTGAAAATATATGGAATGAAGTTATTGGAATCTGGTGATGTCAATTTATAAGTTTTTGAATCCAATTTGTGGATTTGAGAGTGTATGTTTCTATTCGTCATGGAGTACCTACCTCTTGAGGTGATTGGGAACACACTATCCCATCTTGGAGATTCCCAATTACCAGAGATTCCCTTGCCATATATACGTATCTTTGAGTTACATTAGTATTTCAGCATTGGATCTGAATTTGTTGCTTGCAGCCTGCCCAAAGATTGAGGTGTTGGCCCTTTGGAATCCAGAGATTGCAATGTCAGATGCACAGGTAACTGTTGAACTGAACATCCTAACATTATAGAGAATATATGTTGATGCGGTAAGCCTGGATAAGTTGGGTTGCATTGAGATATTGCACTTGGAAAGATTGTGCCCTTGAGCTTTTTGAACTCATTGGAAAGGGAACATTGAAGCATTGCAAGACTGATGATGTTAGTGTTATACACATTGATATTGGTGAGCATTTATAATCTCAAAATCATAGATGTTAGCAATTCCACGATCATTCGGTCCAAGTTCTATCAGATGATTTCCAAATCGTCCAAATTGAGAAGACTTAAGGTTTGGGATGTGCTCTTTGATGATGAAGATGACATTGTCGATGTAGAGATCATTTCTTGTTGTTTCCCACAGGTAAGCCATCTTGCATTGAGTTATGATTTTAGAGATTGACTTAAGAGATGGAGTGCTACACTCTGGTTTGGAAGGATTGTCTCCTTTGGAAAATGTGCTTGTATCGGAGCTTGGGTGGACTGTAGTTAATGATCTCTTTATACAGTGGGTGGCAGGTCTGCTTAATAGACGTTCAAAGTTCAAACCTGAAGAAGTTAGTCATTCATGGGGTGGTTTTAGAGGCCAAAACACATGAAGAATGTCAAAAGCTGGCCAATTTTACCTCATCCATTGTTCAGCTCATGGTGACATATATGCTTGTAGATGTTCGATTTGAATAGGAATAGAGATCCTGTAGGATGCCTTGGTGGAACTGTGGAAAATGAAGTTCTGGATTGTCAATTGTAGAAGCACTTGCAGGTAACGTGTGCTGCATGTGGGGTCTTAGTTTCACATTGTGTTCTCTAGTTACATTCTGAATTTTTTCTGTTTGCATTTGTCATGTTACATACAATGGAATAGAATTTTATTTCCTATCCTTTTGCTATGTTGCATGCTTTGGATTGCACAATTACTTTGAGGTTTTTCGTTAGTAGTTTGTCTTAGATTACTTGCAACAGGGGATTAGAATGACTAGCCTCTGAGCTGAGTGAGGCTTCCAGTAATGGCTAATGTTTTGTGGTTAGAATGTTGCAAAGTATGCAGTACAAAAAAGCTGCTAATAGTTTAGATGAGATACACTCGTGAAAATATGTTGTTTGCTTACTATAGGGGAGTTATTTTATTCTAAAATAAGCCTCTACATGAGGCATGGAATGCGGTTGTAATAATTGTCTTAACAATTCGGTATCATCTATTCTTTAAGATTGATGGGCTATGAAGTGGAAAAGCTTAGGAATTCAAGTGTGAGAACACATTTATGAGTCTACTAGTGGGCACCTGGCGTAAATAGAAGTGGAAAGCAGGTGTAGGGCACCCCGTATGACAGGACAGACACTAGGTAGTGACCCTCTTGTTAAAAAATAAATTCTTTGATGATTTTGTGTTGTTCTGTTCCAGTTTTATATCAGCTAATGCATCATGCTCTATTGGTCTCCAGATAAATTTTTTTAGCAAATCAACTGTGTTTTAAAGTTGCATTTATTAGTTTTCTCCCTCCTAAATTAGCCTCAATACCGCTGCAACCCAGTTTAAGCCTTATAAGGTCATCCCGGAAAGACATGAGAATGAGATAACTTCCAGGTATAGAATGCTTTCACATTTGATGCTCCTGGGTTGTTTCTATCTTTAGTATAAAGGGCAAGAGAGGCCCAAAATTCATGTCAATCCATTGTTCTTCGTGTTGCAGTCTGCCCTTGAGAAAGCAGGTAGTATGGAGGATTTTCATAAACTAAAAGTGCCACAACTACAATGGCTGCCAACGTTGCATCTTGTAGTGGAATCATCCTCTAAGGTTCATATGGTGTTGCTAATCATATGAAAGGGGGCTTGGGTGATATGGTAATATGAATCTTGAGGAAGGGCAGGGCTTCAGTGATAATTTTTCTTCTTGATGGCGGAGGATCGAGGGTTGGTTTTCGAGGTACATATGTTCTAGATTTAGATTGGTTTAAAAGGCTGTGACTTGGGGAAAATGGTTGCAGAGATTTTTTTGTGGTTTTTGGAAGGGGTCTTAATTTTTTACTGCCAAGCCTTCGAGCAGGCCAGTGATTTACTCTTTTTATGATGTCTAGACTTCAAGTTCTTGTTGGGCTACCAGAACCAGAGTGGGAAGAATTCGCTCGATACGAATTCTTCCCAAAGTCTACCCAAATTAATGTGTGCAAGCAAAACTTCGTCAACGTTTTGAATCTTTTGTAGGGTTTTTTTGGCTTTGTGCTCATTCTCCAAGTAATATGTTGCTCGTTTGAGTCTGGGAATTTACCTCTCTGAAATTGGGTAAGATTGCTTACCACTTAAGTCTCCCAGACCACTCTGGGTGTGACCTTATGTGTTTTGGCTCTAGGCGCAAAGAATGTTGAAGAATATCTATTTTTCCTCGTAAATAATTCTTATCATATTACTCGTGTTTCCAATTTTTTTTAGTGTCATTATACATAGATTTCAACATAGAAGTTCCAATATAGTTGCTGTGAATTTGTTGAGCTTTTAACTGTGTACTGTTGGTGGAAGGTGAACTGTTCTCTTTTTCCCATTTCCTACATTTGTATGCATAAAGCTATATTGACATCTTTGTGTTAAGTTGAGGAAGTCCTCTATGGGACCGAACAAAAAATCAGTATCATACATCCATTTATAATATTTATGAATATTTTTATTATTGTTGTGGGAGTTTTTATCATTGTTGTGATACCAAAAAAAATTGATAAAAACACTCACAAAAATAATAAATCAACCATAAAAATTATAAAAATATCAATTAAAATAGTAAATTTTAGAGGTACGATATCAAATTTTTTATGTCGATACCGTTGTCAAGTTGTAAGTTAAGTTTCTATGAATTGTTGTAGGTGCTCACTCCAAAGTTTTAACTTCTACACTTTTTAGCATCGTACAAAAAAGTTACAACTAGATAGGAACAATTTATTTGGGTCAAGTTATGATTTAATGGTATTAAGTTACGACAAAATAATAAAAGTTAAAATTGAATTTAAAATGTTTTAAGATTAATACCAAACAATTTCAGTTGGTCTTAATGTTGCTTAGATTGAGTTGTAATGTGAAATCCGGTAAAAAAAAAGTAGTATTATTATTATTAAAAATCTTAATTTAAGGGATAAAATAATAATTAATGGTTAAATTATGGGTCAAAAATAAAAATTTAAAAAAAATAAAGTTACATTATATATTTAAGTGGAAAACAAAAGTCTTTTACTTTTCTTCTTCTAGTGAGCTGCCGAGAGAGTGAGAGAGAGAAGGGTGAATATTGTTTTATTTTTTTCTTTTCTTCATTTTTAGATCTACGAAGATTGACCCGTTTAATTGCTTCGGGTCAAGAATTAAAGTTGCTCTACTTAGCGAGAGCTACGCAACCACACCAAATATCGTATTTTTCTCCGAAAGAATATCACAGACGATAATTTAGGCTTAAAGCTTGAGAAGTTAAATTGAACTTCCTTGAAGTTCCAGTACGTGAGCTCATGCTACGAGAGGTAGGGTTTTTCTTATTTAGATTTACTTTCAAACTAAAATATGACATATGAAATGGGTAGACTATGAGTGTATATCACATGTTAGGTCTTGACTAGTGTAACTAGTGGGTCAAATTTATGATTTATAATTAACTTTGTAATTAGAAATATACTATTATGATTAACTTGATGTAAGTTAATGTTAGTGGTTTAAAACATGTTAATTGTATATTAGCATTATTTTATGTTTTAAAATGACATATCAAGTTTAATGAAATTATTAGCTTGTTATGTGATTATGAAATAATATGTATGTTAAATGATTATTTAACACATAATTATTGTGGTGGACTTGTGCTTATGTTTATAGAATTGATAAACATGTTGTCATGTTGAAAATGTCATTATATTATATTCTTTATGTAATGGACATTGTAAATGGTACTAAAGACAATTGTACATTGAAAATGTCATTATGCATGAGTTACATTGCATTCATGGGCATTGACATGGGTGGGAGTGTATGCATGAGATGAAATCAATCACCACATAGGTGGTTGATTGTGGGCTTGAAAAAGTCGCACCAAGGTCCGGCTTGAGTCACTTGAAAAATTAAATAGATAAACGTGTCAGGGATATCAAGAAGGGCTAGATTCTCCCTCGGGTGCAAGACCCGCTTACTTGGTTTATACACTTTCCAACGGTGAAATTCTAGAAAAGTGTAACGGCCAAACTGGCGCCGCAGGTGGGATATCCTGATAATCCGTTGATGGTTGGTGTCCTATTGGTGTAATACCATAAATCATCTCCCCACAAAGACACAAGAAAATAAATTAATTAGTCATTGAGTATACATAACACTAATGACGGAGCTTGGAATGTCCGGATACATACGCATGACATTACATGTGTATAGGAGCTCAGGATGGGGCTCGGTGTTAATATTGTGTTTGTGAGTCTCATCTCATGGCATGACATGATTTATGATATTTTTCATAATAAACATATTTGAATGATTGTATGAAATGATTGTTGTATGTGACATTTCATATGCATTTAGGTTGAAAGGTATTCTCTATAGGAGTTACCCTATTGAACGTTGACTCACCCTTTATGAGAACATTTTTCAGGTATTGCACAGGCGTCCACCGCAAGCGAGGCTATGGGCCCGCTTTGACGACAGAGCCGGTCTGTGGCTCTTCTTTTGACATCGTAGTCCCTTGTTTATAATTACTTTTAGCTTTGTGTAATTTTTGTAACAAAAATTTGTTTATATTTAAAAGGCATGTATAAGGGACTCTTTTGAGACATTTATTCTTTTATGAATGAATGTACGTAATGATGATGATTATGGTAGTATTCGATATTATACAATTGTTAATGGATGGATAGACCCGGTGTGGTCAATATTGTACAGATTGCATTTTGGATAGAGCTCCTCATACAAAGGAGACTCTGCCCAAATTTTATTAAGTTATAGATCTCGGTAAATGGGACATAAACGGCGTGGTATCGAATTACATGGTATCCATGGGTATTCTGCGGGTTGATAGGTGATCAATCGGGTAATTACAAGCACAAGGATTTTGGGGTGTCACAACTTGGTATCAGAGCATTGGTTCTTGATTTACCTAGGGCATGCAAGGCATGGGTTTAGACCATTGCATCCATTTTGCATTGCATGTTAAATGTATTAAATGTTACATGCTATGTGTTATGAGATTATATGCATGATTAAATGTATATAGGAATAAGACGCTATGGTTAGAAAACATAACCTTAGAGTCAGGAAGGGCAAGGATGTGTAGGCCTACTGTTTGAGTATTTGCTGGTAGGTAAATATTCTACTGTTTAATTTTGATCCATAACTTTGGGATACTAAGTTATTGGTCTATTGCTATCTTATATGTGTGTAGATGGCAACTAGAGGAAGGGGACGTCGGGGTGGACGAAACAACCAACCACTACCACCGACTTTTGATCAACAAGCCTTTATGGAGGCTATGAGTACGATGTCTGCCACCTTTTTGCAAGCCAGTGCCAGTGCGGGCCAAGGAGGATTGAACAACTTTCAGAAGTTTAAGTCCCATAACCCACCAACTTTTGTAGGAAGAGGGGATCCAATGGTAGCTGACCATTGGTTTCAACAAGTGGACA